GTGGCATAGCTCGTAGTGTATTGAAAGGCTGATAAGATGATAGATGACATCTGTTTAGGTCACTTATTAGATAGGATTAATGCTTCTAAAGACTTACAAGCTACAGCTTAGTACTCTGCTATCTGAACACATTGGCCCTTTTATGTGCGATGGCTGTCAGCTCAAGACCCAGCACTGGTACAGCTTGAGAAAGGTGGAAGCTGGACACCCAAGTGGCCGTGGCAAAGGATATGCACCATCCCCTTCACTGGTGCAGACCGGCAGGAAAGGCCAGAGGTGACCATGTGCTTAGCCTTGTGAAGGAGCTCCCAGAGGAAGAAACAACTCTGCAGCACTGGTTTTGCTGGGAGCAGGGGTGCTGCCCCACAGAAAATGGGTACACTCGTTCCAGCTTGCGGGGGTGAAAAAGAAACACACCCATTTTTATACTGGGCAGAATTTTTGGCTGCAAGTTTCTTGTTGAGTGAGAAAAGGAAGAAAATTCTCACTAACCCACACATCACCCACAGAGCCTACCCATCTCTTCCCCTTTATAAACCACATGGCTCCATCGAGCTACCCCCTGTGGAATGGCAGGGGAGTGGGATGCCTCGACTATAGCATCAGCAGAAAGCACCCCAGCTCCCTCCCTCAGCACGCATGCAGTACTGGCAGACACGGGCAGCCCGGGGCTCTACACGCACAGGCTCATAGGAATTAGATTCTCTTGAATTGCAGAGGGTCAGCTGGATCTTGTGACCTGTGTAAATAATAAGGCTTTGCAAAACAGCTCAACAGCTTGTGTTCTTCATTTCAGATCCACAGTTCTGTATGGAGGGAAAATAAATAAAACTTAGAAATCAAAATTCACTTCACCCTTAGAGTCCTAAAGTCCCCTGAAAGGGAAAGACGCAAGTGACTGATGCAAGTCCCACCAAGTTATTTAACTTGTACTGTGGGAGTTGATTAGAATTATTTATTTCCAACTCTTAAACCCACATGCTGCCTCTTTCTCTCTTGCCAATTAACAGTATTACTTAGCACTAATAGACTGCTTTCATTTTCAAGGGGCTTAAGATGTCAAATTAATCACCTCAACATGTCTGAAAGGAACAGATGGTAATGAAGTATTAACATTGCAATTTCACAGTTGGAAAAGCTCCTGAGAGAGGGGGTTATAGCAGTGTCTGGAGGGCACCTGGCCCCACTCCCTGCTTGGAGCCGGGGTTCCTGGGTCTCATCTCCGCTCTGAGATATGGCTTTATCACAACATCATCATGTTACTTTTCCTAAGCAAAGATATGCAGTTCTTCTTATTCCACCTTTAACAGGGAGTAACATCCTTCCAGAAGGCCTCTTACCTCAGCACGTCTCCAGACAGGTTGTTATTGCTTTGGATTTAAAAGACTAAACGTCTATCCAATAACGCAATTAGTCCAGCTCATCATTTTTTCTTACTGGCTATAAGCAGAGAAGTGATCAGGGAGAAATACATTCCCCTATCTGTACAGTGGAGATGCTTTTTTGTCCCTGAAACATCTTTGTTTACAGTTGGGTACAGAACAGCTGACAGCATTTTCCTCCCCACTCACTCCTGTCTCAGAGGACCGTGGGCACGGAGCAGTGTTGCTCCGTGGGGCCTTCTGGCTCAGCTGTACAACACACAATCTCTTAAATGACATCTGGAAGGAAGATAAGCTTACTCCAGAGCAGGGGTTCCTACGGCAAAACGCGTGTATGAAGGGTGAGATCCGTGGCCATCCTTAGCAGAACCAGCTCAGGATCCAGGCTGTAGCAACTAAAAGGTCCTTTTCCAGCAGCAGGAGGCCGAAGGCAAGCGGTCTGCAAACACCGCAGGCTGAACCGGGGTGAGAGCGAGCCCACTGCACCCGTCAGGGGCTGCCAGCTTTGGAGAGCCCCTCAGCTGCAGACCCCCATCCCCGCTGCTGTCTCCTCATCGCCCTGGGGGCAGAGGAATGGCTGGGCAGTTTGTTATGGGGGCACACGTGTTACTGGGCTCCGAGTGAATTTGGTTAGGCGGCCCTCCCACCTGATCCCTTGCCATTAAGCAACCTGTCGCAAACACAACTCTAGAAAGCCGTTTCTCACAACAAATTGACATTTTCAGAAGACCAAACAAACACAGTGATTTCAAAACTAACTGATATGACATTGACTAAGCAACTTCTTAGTTTTGTTTTTGTTTTGTTTTTAAGGTTTGACTTAACTATTAAAGTTTTTTATTTAAAACATTGAGAGAATATCCTCTATTTCATTATTTAACCTTGCAGTCAAAGATTATCTCAAATTACAACTGTGCGATGATAATGAATTTAGTTGGTGCCAAATGTCTGACAGGTTTTGGCCTCTCCTCCAGGAATGGTAACAGTAAATATGGTGATATCTCTCCTTTGTTACTAGAGCAAGATAATAATTCAGAGTGAAATTAATTGTTATAACTCACTTTCAGAGCTACTTCATCAGCATATTGATATTAGTATCAATTCCCTTCAGCCTGTGCTGAACCACTGACCTAAGCATCTCAGCCCATTAGCAATCCCATATCAATCCCAATCAGTCCTTCTAGAGACATCAGTTAGCGTCTAGACATGACATAACTGATCCAATACTGCATTACCAGGTGGCTGTTCCCACGTTTTAAGGGAAAGAAGGAGCACTGAGGCAAAAGCGTTAAGCTCCCAGTGTGCTGGTGCAGCCCTCAGGGAGGATTTGTTCCAAAGGCAACCCCAATTTGATCAGCTGCAAATGGTACTTGAGCATTCAGGCTGGGCAGCAGACACAACATGATGCAATGCAAACTGGTTCTCAAATGGGCTCAAGGAAATGATACACCCTGACTTCACCCTAGCTTGACAAGCATCTGTGTTCAGCATTGACCCGTTCAGTTATAAATCTAGTGTAAGTTTTCCTTCTACTTTATTTATACGTAGAATGTAATGGATTTGGGTTTTCCTAAATTAGAAAACATTAAACAACAGTGATAGAGTTCTCACATTTACAGAAGTAATACTTGAAAAGAGCACTAATATGAAGAATACTTAATATACAACCTGACTGCATTTAAATTAAAAAAAAAAAAAAATTGAACCCAAATGCAAAGTGAATCCAAATTACCTTTTTTTTTTTTTTGAGGCATCCATCATACAAGTAAAACAACTTGTTTTATCCATGTAGCAAATTTCTAAATGATTTTTAGTTGTTTTTTTTCCCAGATCTCCAGTAGTATACCTCATACTTTAAGCCTTTCTGAAAGCACAGGAAATCCTCAAACACAAACAGTATTTTTGTTACCAACAGTGACTCCAGTTAGTATCCTAATGATTCACAATGCCTGTAATGAGTGAGCATCTGTTTTTCTTGATTAGCAAATCACTGGTGTCCTCTCCCCTTGCTTGACATTTATTTTTCTCACCCAGGAACAACAATCAGTGTTCAGTACTGCAATAGCAAATTTGTACCAATGCATAAATCATAGGTAGTTCACACCAGAGCTGTAGGAAATCTAAGAGTTGTTCCATCTTTTATACTATACAACAGCCAAAGCACTCATGGGATTTCTGCCATATTGTTCCCATTCCTTCTGCAAACTGTCTCCTTCTGACCAGTTTGATACTGGTCCTATTTTATCATCTTCCTAGGTTTGGGGGCTTCATTTTGGAGGGGTGCTTGGGATGCCAGGGGTGGGAAGAAGAATCAGGATTACTCCATATGTCAAATATCTTAAAAGTATGGATTATGATGGTCGTGGGAGCAAGGTACACTTGCTATTTTAAAGCTTTAGTTTAACTGTTCAAATCTTTAAATCTGCTGCACACCCGAGGACAAGCTAATAGACAACACAAGGTTTTAGGCCATTATAGTGCTTAAAATTCTCAAAGTGTAGTATTTGAAGAAAGAAAGGAATAAATCAATGTTTGGTACTGCTTATGATACTCTGGACCATAAAATAAGCCCATATAGAAACTGTTTAGTGAAACACTAAATAACAGCAGGTGTGACTTTTTTTAGATACTCATTAGTTCTTTACTTCTAGTAAAGCTTTAATAAAAGGACCTTTGATATCTAGGGTCATTATCAAAACTTGGATGCTCACAGCTATAGAGGCATTTTGAGAAAGCTGTCATATTCCAGTGGTTTCAGACTTGGTTTGTATAAAACTAATTTTGAGTTCAGACTTTATAGAGGCCATAGTCCCAGGGCCTGAATGAAGCTTCCTGAACTAAAAGCAAGTTTCACAGGAGCCAGGTCTGTTTGATTCCACTTTGTCCAGGAATGAAGATTTTATCTTGAACTACCCTATGTTATTAAATTAATGCATCATAGCACATTACAACTAGCAGCTCCGATATCTACGGATTTTCTAGATGAAATTTTAAAGCTGCCTTAAGCACCAGGGACTCCTGTTCATATACAAATGTCAGGTGAACATTATGTAGACAGCCTGCTAACTCACTGGAACAAAAAACAAACCAACAAAAGAACCACCACACACATTTAAAAAAGAATGGATAATTCCACAGCAGTAAGTTACCTGACGTTGCAAGTTGTCCTTTAAGACAGAAATGAATGTTCCTCCTCTCTCTTAAGTAAAAAAATATTGCACATTCCTAGTTTCATGAAGAATCTTAGACGTTGACCAAAGGCCACATATGATACTGGCAATAATAGTCTCAGCTTCCTTGACAAACCTTTCACTTCAGACAGGCCCTACACTACGGCTGCATTACAGTATCATAAAAGATTTCTCACTGGGAAGTTGTTTGCAAAGTTATTTTAGGGAAAAAGAGAAATCTGAAGCTGTCCATATGCCCAAGGCACTTGGAGCAAATAATCTTAAAGCTGTTACTTTGGTGAAGACACAAATTCTCACTTTCAGCAGAAGCTGGCAGTCAGACCAGACAGGGAACGCAAGAGAAGCAAAGGTTACATGCACACCGTCACCTGCGGTTTATGCAACAACAAAATAACTGCTATTCAGGATAGATGCACATAAAAAGAACTCACTGGAAATTACTTTTAATATAAGCAAAACAAAACTGCTTATGATTTGTAGGGTACGATATTGTGACAGACTAATCTGAACAGTTTTTGTTACATGAGTCATCTTTGGTAATACTGTACATTTCTGTCAATCACTTGGTAAACATCAGTTCTGGACATTTAGAGCGTAATTCATCATAACTACAAACTAATTTGCAAGTTGCAGGAGCATCCTTTAACTGTACATCAGCTTGCAAAGGGAAGAGCTCAGACTAGCAATACCAAAATTACTTCACAGAGTTATGTAGCAAAAGTTACAATTCTTTGTCATATAGCATTACGCTAGTTTGTCATTTTGTCTACAGTTGAAGTGGGCTTATAGCCAGCATTACCATAAATTGTCAGCAAACTAGCTCCCAAAAGAATTGAAGGGAGTAGGATTGAAAGCTAAGAACTTTGATTAAAGCATCAATTTCTAACTTTGTTTTCTAACCCTAAATTATTAAAATACAGACAAAAGTCATCATTGTTTTAAAAAGATGCATCATTTAGAAAAGAAGTCTCATTCCTTACAATATGATTTAAAACTAACATAGAAGAATAAAACAGCACTACATTAAATGCAGTCAAGAGCGCTCAGATGGCATGATGTAGGTACAACCTTATATTCTCTGTTATATGGCCCAACCATGGGGTTTTCCATGCTTTGATGTGTATTTGATGGGCACTGAACTTTCACACTTATCCTGAAGTGGATTGTCCACACCTGCTTTGTTAACACCTGAGAGTCAGCATTTATTTACAATTGAAAAGCAGCACAGCTGTCCTACATCTGTGCTCACTCCACTGCAGCACTGGAAGCACAACAGCTTGGATGTCTCAGGGAATGCATCATTGTTCTGAATGGCCTTTTTTTCCCCATTTTATCAGAAGATGACTCCTCATTACTTTTCCTAGCCAGCTGAGTGGGCTCTGTCTGGAATTGTTCTATTTGAATCTCGAGATGTTTTTGAATGGCTAACCCAAGGACTTCTGGATCCACAGATGCCCCGTACACTTCCCAGGTCATTCCTTCATCATCCCATCTCACTTCGCGTACTGGAGATGTTGACGGCTCCAAGTCTTGCTCCAGGTTCACCTCCGGGAACACATGCGAGTGGCCCTCTGCTGCAGCTGCTGGGCTTGTAGCCACAGATTTGCATTCCATGATTGGAAGAGTTTGTACCTCAGCATCTCTAAGCTCAAGACCTGGCTTCAGTCCTTTGGTTAAATCATTCATAGAGGTCATAGTCCACATATCCTTAGTTGTCATTACCATGGCTGCACCTTGCTGGCTACTAAAGGCAACACAAGCAGTCTTTGTTTCTGGAGGAACTGTCTCCTCCTGAGCACAGTGTTGAGCATGTTCTCCAGGAATGCTAGAGCACTTCAGGACTCTCTTGGCATCCAGGCCTGATTCACTTACTGAAGACACCAGCTTAGGATATGTCAGAATATCTGAAGTAGAAAGGGAATTAAAATAGCCAGGTGCTGCCTGCTCTTTTCCCGACTCACTAACTGAGCATACCAACTGTGGATCAAGTTGGATAGATGGTATGGGCAAAGAATGGCAATGGGCAGAGGTGGTGGCATCTACCTTCATGCAAGGGTTCTGCCTTATATTATAGGACCCTGCAGAATTGTTATGAACTGTCATCACCATGGGTGAATAGATAGAGTTTGGAATATGACCATAAATCAGACCACCATGAATAATCCCAGTGGCTTGACTGAACATTGTCCTGTTTGAGAAACCACTTCCAGGCATGTGGGGTCCTAGAACAGCAGTGTGAAATGTTCCAGGATCTGTGTAAATAGTAGTGTTACGTGGAATACCACTGCTGTCAAAGCTGTTTGTGGGTACTTTTTGGTCTCTAGGTAGGACTGGAAGATGAGTCACAAGGTTTTGATAGTGAAATGTATTTTCGTTTGTTTCTGATCCGTATCTCTGTGTTTGGAAAGACACCCTAGCCACTGGTGGACCATGCCTGCAGCTAGAAGAGGTTAGGCTGGAGTGAGTAGCGCTGGTTTCTGTGTGAGTGGCACAAGTCTGCTGTTTGCAACTGCAAGTTAGGTCTGAGTGGCTTCTCTGAAGGGCAGTTCCTGATTCTTCCATTTTACACATGCTTTGCTGGTGGACAATGCAGGCTGAAGAAACATTCTCAGCAGTGCCGCTCTTTACACACATCTTAGTGTCCCCCAATTCCCAGGATGCTGGAGATTGTTCAGCAGTAAGAAGATTGTTTGTAGTCTTAGTTCTGCTCTGTGAATTGTCACTGGCTGACTGGTCACTTATGGTTTGGACCACTGGCCCATGTCCCACCACCCCAGGCTGCGAGAAGGACCATCCAGGACTCGGCACACTCCTTTCATCACCCTTGTTTCCCAGAGTATGGCAGATGGTGCTACTACGGCTTTTCTTCAGCTCCTGTTTGTTGCTTTGCTTTTCCTCTAAACTTGACTGCCCAGTACAGTCCAGACTTGAGGAGCTCTTTGACAGGGGGTGACTGTTGACATTCAAGAGACTGTGACAAGTAGAACTTAGTGAGTCCTGGTAGGAATGAGTATGGAGCTGGTGGTTGTCAGCTGACATGGCAAAAAAGAGAGATCTGCAAAAAATGGTGGAGAAGAAAAAGAAGCAATTTAAGAAGGAAATATATGCACTGGAAACTATAGTCTCTGTTGACCTTCTGCCCGGGCTTCTTGTTTCTCGCAGTTCACGTATACTTTTAAAAAAGCACTATACTGTAGTCTCTGTGTACTCAAACTGGCCAGTTTTCATTTTCAGTTTCCCTGGATTAGATTTGGGCTTTATTGAAATGCTGGGGGTTTTCCATTTCATAAAACACAAAGGAAAAAAAAAATATTCTTGGTTTCTACCTTTTAACAATAGCAATCTCAACATTGCCAATATCATCTCCCCTGAATTTACTGGAGCCATTTTTGGGACATCCGGAGATATCATCTAACATAAGCAAAGACAGAAGTATTTTTAAACAAGATAGCTTTTCACTATGGTATTCATTAAGCTAACGATGTTAACTGTATTGTCAAAACAAAAAACTGTTCAGTTTTTAGTCTCTTGAGATTGTCATTTCAGGAGTTATCCAATCACTCCTGGAGCTTTCAAACATCAGCAAAGCCTCAACAACTCTCCCTTTCCCTCCTACCCTTCCTAAGAAGCTTCTTTGGATTTCATTTCACAATGAGATCACTATTTTAATCAGCTGTTTTCCCAGAGTCCACACAAGTGTACAGTAGGTGTGGACAAAATTGTTTTGACCACCCTTGGCAGAGGAAACGTGACATGGAACCCAAGGAAATGAGCTTTTCCAGGCTGTGTGGAGATGGTGCCAGTGTTCCCAGAACAAATAATGCTGGGCAGCATGGGGCAAAGATACCCAGCTGGCCCCTGACAGGGTCAGTGGGCTTTCTAACTTGTGCTTACCACTGGCATGATACGAGGTGGCAGCAAAGAGGGATCCAGTGAAAGACTGGAGGTGAAACCTCCCTAGGAACCACTGAGCTGTGTGTGGAATGTCTGCATCTCAACACGGAGTCTGCTAAGGGTACGTGCTTCAGTGTGTGGTTTGGGCTTCTTGTGCCAGTCACCTTTGGGAATCTACCAGTTCACACTGGCTGTAGAAGGTACATACTCACTGCACCAGAAGCAGGGTAAAAACAAAACAAAAAAATCTTTAACCAAAGTGTTATGGTTCTTTTGTCCTTTTTTTTTTAGTGCACTCAGTCACTTCTACTGTTAGGAAACACTATCCCATACGATGTTAACATTTATGTTAGCACTTCCACATCTAAGAGAAGTTGTAATTGAAGATTTTTAATCTAACCAGATTTAGTGATCCATTTTTGTTGATTGAATCAGATCTTCCACTGACTGACTATGCATATTCCCCTGGTGTCACAGAGGTCTTCCAACACTTGTATAAATAAGCTATTTTAATATGCTTATATATCTATATCTATCTACACATATGCATATTAATATGTCTCTTTCCTAAAAGAACCCATTCCATTGAACAGAAAAATCTAGAGCATTTGTTCATTGCTTCCAAGTCAAGTAACTACTGGATGTTTTGTTGTGCAGAAGTATAGTGGAAGACACAAGTTCTCATTTTAGAGAGACCTTTCCCCACAGGTGCACTCTGCCTCCCCCACAGGATTCCTACAGAAACTGTCACAATTTCTTGTGAACTGTATCACTGAAGTAAAAATGAATGTGTGGAACAAGAAAGGTACGTACACACGGTGGACAAAAGCACTCTGTAACAGGAAAGTTCACTCATGACACCAAGAGACCAGTGGCTGCAAGGGCTCACATTCAAACCTCTCAGTGAGAAGATTTTAATATGTGATCCTTTCAATGTGATATTGACAGGCTCAGAGAGGCATTTACCAGCATAAATGATAAAGAGCATGCCTTTTGCTTCATCCACAAACCAAGAGCTCTCCTGCTGATCCAGACAGCTATCAGTGCTTACACCTGTAATTCCATTTTCATTAACTTTGGCAAGCTAACTGTTCAGGTCACAATTTTCCCGTCACCTGAAATCCACTTACTTTGGCTGCTTTCCGTTAATGAATTAAACATTTTATTTTGCACAACATTTAATGTGCAAGACAACATTAAAAAGCAACAATATTTTGAGAAGCTTCTTACTGTGGGCTGTGTAGTAGGGACTTGCGATTAGCAGCAATATCCTCTGTCATTAGTGTTTGCTCAGATTTGGAAGGCAGTTTCCCCTCCTTTATACGTGCCTGTTCAGTTAGAAGTTAAACTCATTAGACTCCACCTGCACCAAGCCTGGCCTGTACGCCATGCTGCCTGTCTGGCCTGTGGGACTCCATGGGCTGGTGGCATTTAAGGACAACACAAAAGCATCTTTTCTTCCAGGAATGGAATTTCAGATTCCTGGGTTAGAAGCACTTCTTGCCAGGCCAACAATGTATTTCTGCATGTTTTTCAAAAACCTTCACAACATGTCACTCAACACTTAGAAGAGAAGCAAGAACTGGGAAAGTGAGTATTAAAATACTTCACTCACCTCCTCCAGCATGTTACCTATCCTGCAGCCACTGACATATATGGATATAGTCTGCCACATAAAGTTCAAAGGAGTCAATAAGATTAAACACCAGAGCACAGCTGTCTGCAAGGTGAGGACTTCACATTTAATCTCTTTAAAGGATAACACCTGCAAAGGCTCTCACACAGACTGGGATGAAACAACATTTACTAACGGAAATCCTCAGTCACAAATACGGAGTCTCAGGTGGAAGGAAGCTTCAAACATATCCCGTTACAGATGATACAAAGCTGTGAAAACTTTGAAGAGCTTTCTCACAAAGCTAACAAGGTTAAAATATCAGTATATGCACAGATACCAAGACCTCTATCTGCTTTCTTCATGTATCATTGCTGCAGAAACCTCCGTAACTGGAAGAAGTGATGCAGTTTGAGATTGATTCATCACCTGAATGTGAAAAAAACACATTCAGATGAATGAAACATTCAAAATTTATTGACATCACTGAAGACAACATCCAGCATGGTGATTGCAATGAAACCTTCAAAGAGAACTCCGAAGAGATTTTTGCCCCAGCCACGTAGACTCAGCAGCTGAAATGAAGACCAAACATGGGCCAATGCTACATATAGTACATATGTACAAATACATATATAACATTATAACCAGCAGCTCTCAAAAGCATTTGAACATCTTTGCTCAGATAGACCAGTGGCCCACAAGAGCAGCATTGTAACCATTATCCTATGACTTTCAGACATTAAAAACAATGGGATTAACTACCAGTTAAGTAAAACAGCACTCACCTGATACTTTAGGACATAGCTAAGGATGGGGGAAAAAAAACAGTAAAAAAGAAAACAAATCCCCATGCAAACAAGATGAATCAGCTTTCTTTAGAATATTGCACCTCCCTATCATATCCAAAGTTACATTTTCCCAGAGAGCCTGAATACTTCCCCATTGATAGGCCACCTATCGCTTTGCCCCCTCCATTCCCTGCCCCTTTTCCCCACTCTGGAAAGACCTGTGAGCTCTTACACAACCAGTGCGTTCTGCCCACCCAGCCGAGGCAGGGCCCTGAGCCAGAGCAGCGCACGTGGAGCTCTGCGTGGAGGGGGGCGGTTGTACAAAAAATCCATTTCTGGCAGACTTGGCCTTTCCTCACCTCTGCTGCGGCCAAAGGTTTGCCACAGCATTTTACACTAGCCTAACTGAGCGTACAGGTGTGCCACAAACTACATCAGCTTGCTGACCCTGATGATTTTTTTTTTTTTTTTTTTTTTAAACTGGCTTAGCTCTCACTGCATCAAATCATCAATCCAGCCACACCAATCGCTAATGTCAGCACAGGGAGGAAACAGAAGACCACTCTCCTCTGCAGAAACATGAATTTACAAACTTACTAGTGGCATAAACCTAGAGCAAACCTGCACATGCAGTGCCCTTCTTCCTAAAACTTTGGAAATGGCACATAATCCCACACCCATCTTCCCAAACTCTACATTTCACAGGTGCAATACTGGCGTTGATTCCCCAGGATACACAAAAATTCTTACGTTTACATATACGTCCCTACAGAAGAGACACAACACTGTATGCACACACACTAGAGGTGCTGTACATCCTGCCTGAGCTCCTGCAGACTGCATCCAGCTGATGGCTTCTGAGAAGGGGCAAGAAGCACAAGTGTCTGGATGGTTATACCAACACATATACCAGGCAGGGGCTGGGGCTGGTACCAAGAATGGTGTGACAAACTTTTTTAAAAAAAAGGAACCGAAAAAAAACCCAAACCAACTCTGAAACGTGGAACCTCTCTAATTTCACAGTCATGCAATGCCACTGTATTTTGTGAATCAGCTAATCAGGAATGGATTACCCACGTGAAACATGGATATAAACACACCTGACTTAGTGGGTACTCAGGGATCTGAAACAACTTTTTCGTGCATGTTTGGTGGAGAAGACTGCTTGCTTAACTTTGCTTTCTAAAAAGTAAATACATAATTTATAGGAAAGTAATTTTATTAAAAATACCTATTGTAGATTCTGAGTTGATCTGCATGATTTTCTTTTGGAAATTCAAAGGAAATCTGCACCTGAATACATAAACGAGACAGCATGAACTTTGAGGCAGATACCCTGCTATGAATATATAGAAAATTGTTAGACAAGCAGAGAAAGGATTAGGATAGAAATGGAATTAACATCCACTATTTTTGGCTTAGCTTCAGATAGCTTATCAGGGGATCTAGGCTGCTTCCATTAATTCCACTGAACTACTTTAAAGCAACAAATGTGTATTTTGCTATGACTTATGATTAAAGTTCTGACCCATTTAATGCACTAGTACATTTAGTCTCAGAATATTAAATATCATGTATGTTATCAATTGAAAGCTATTCACTGGTAAATTAAATATATTACAAAATTCTTCTGTATTTTTGTATTCCATGCATGCACTTTTAATTACAATTTTGACAACAAACACAAATGGATATAAAGTGAAATAATTCCTTACAATCATGTAAATATATAGAGCAAGCTTTCACATAATATAATAATACCACATGATATTTCAGTATGATCATATTTAGCTCCTGCATTATGTATTTGCTAGTGATTGCTTTCTTCCCTGGACTGGCAGGCTTCAAAAGAGTGATATGATAAACAAGACACCTACAAAACAAATAGTAGTCTTCAGAACGAGGATAGTAACTCGGGATATTAACATAAGACAATGTGTTAACAACAAAAGAAATCCAGCCATGCTTGCATTTCCTCCAACAAGCAAAGAAAGAAACTACAAAATGCCATAAAAGTAACACAGCTGCTGGATCCTTTATCCCAGTAAAGGATTTTTTGAGTACTGTCACAAACAAAAATCTGCACCGTAACATAGTGAGTTACACAACACTGACTATGCTCTTTCATAAATACTCTGTTACTACAGTAACTAAACGTATTGTGATACAGTATGAATAGCCTAACCCATTAAACAATGCAAGTTAATTGCAGAATTTGGGAAGAGACAAAGAGTAACTTAATACTATTTACTAGAAAAATACATGCAGTGCTAGAGACTTATTTCTCTAAATTTTCCAGTTATTTTCACTTTATATAACTGTGATGGTCAAACCACAAATCAACAAGACTCATAACAGTGACTGCAGGCTGTTTCACCCTTCTTCACTTTGATGATGATACAATAAAAAAAATATATTTTTTTTTCCTTTATATATTTCATTTTATGCTTTCAAAACCAGCATCTGACTGCAAAATAAGTGATAAAAATCAGAGCCAGTTTCAGAGGTGAGAGCATTAATACGCAAGTGTGGAATTTGGAAGAGTTAGGTGATTTGATCCATACCAAAATTTTTGGATGATGACTGTTAATTTCAGGTACTGACGAGGACCCTCCATGGCAAGCACTAGCTCTTTTTGAGGTGACATACAGCACTAGGGATTTGCAGGGTCTTTGCCCAGAATTCACTCCTTCAGTTGCATCATTCTGGCCTTGCTGTGCATCAGCAGTTGGTAACCTGCACAATAATCAGCTTCGTAAGACAAACAGAATTTCTGCAATAGCACCAAACTCCAAGAAAAACACATGTATGTTTTATACAAGGAGAATAGTGTGATTTTAATTAACTTATGAGATTTACTTGAGTAGAAGGCTGCTATATGTAGGATCTTAACTCCATTTAATCTTATTACAAACACTATGGTTATAAGTTTGAAAAGGCAAGAGCAGTTTATGGTTAAAATGACAGAAGTTTAATTACAACCTCAGGGGCAGCTGTCAGCCATAAACACTGCTGACACCTGCCTGGGACACAAGACAGCACACAGAAATACCTAAATTTCTGCATAAACAGCCAAGTTACCTTGGGTACCAGAAGAAATGCAGCATATTCAGTGTGTTCTCCTCAGGACTAGTATTTTAAACGATGTGTCCTCCTTATTGGCATCTACAGCTGAACCTCTAAGATAGATGTTTACCATAGTAAAATGACATGAAAAGGAGCATCATCTAGTATGAATTTTATGGCTTTTAGAGCTGAACTCATTTTAGAGAGGCTCATACCACCAAAATTAAAAAAAAAAAAAAAATAGAGTATGGTCATGTCTAAAAATTTGTCCCTGCTTGCCCACATTGAGAATTACCAGTAACTTGCACAAGATAAAATCTGGTTTGCACTTACACAAAGACTGACATACTAGTATTATGGGACCTGAGGACCTCCTGCACTTCTCTGGAAGAGTCCATTAACAGTAATCACTAACATCTACTGGTGGGGTGGGGGGGAAGAGTCAAACAACTTGAAAGGCATTGGCAAAACAGGATTAGCCATGGTAAAAAGCTTAGAGGTTCAAGTGTCTGGGATTAGGGGTTTTTTGGTGGTTTTAATTGTTATTTTATTTTGGTGAGGTATAAGGGAAAGGAAGAACCAGAGGCGTTACAGTAGGGGGAAAGGTATCACTCACCAGGAAACATCAAGGAATTTCTCTAAATTTTGTAAATACAACTATATCAATGCAACTAGATTAATACAGATCAGGTTGAGACCCCAATTACTTAACCTTTAATCCATCATTTTCCTTTAGGCTTTCCATTTTGGAATAGCATTATAAATGAACTATGCTTTGTTTGGTTCAATCTGCTAATGCCCTCTTGTAAATATTTTGGGTCATGTTATATTTTCAAATATCACAGAAATCTACAGGACAGACTGATCTGGCCATATACAAATACCATCAGATGCACACAACAGACAAGTGCATACTGTGCATGCAAATGCATGGGATTATTTTTCAGTTCTGCACCATTAGAAGCAGCAGTGACAGTGGTGCATGTCACCAGGATCATTATTCACTTGTATGAAGCGGAAGAGGAGTACATTTGACAGGCTAGAAAACATGAGAGCAGAAGAGTTACAGTGTGCAGCACAGCAAAAGCATAGATTGTGTGTGTTTTACGCACATATAAGATGACTAGTTGCAGCTTTTCTTTCATTTCTGTTAATCATCACTTTGTCTACCAGGCTTTTCTAAAAGACTTTATCTTTTGCCCATCTGAAGCTGATCACGTGGGACAGACATCTCTCTGCACTGATTGGCAACAAGCTGAAAAGGAGAGAGTCCCCTTCTTACTGAGTAGTAATGAACCTCAGCTGCCTCCTGAGGACCCAAGCAGAGACCTCTTCCCCCAAACGCTGATGTCACCATGGGTAGCCTGGTTACCAGTGACCTCACCAGGGGATAATAAAAGAGTTGTCATGTCAGCATGGGGATAGATTCAAACATTTGCTGATACATTCACCTCAAGGCAGAATGACAAGGCCACTGTGTCCACAATTATCCCAACAGCATAAGAAAAGTTGTGTGAGAGGATGAGCATTTGCTTTTAAGAAACAGCAGGGGCAGCCCACGGCCCTGGTAGAATCTGAACCAGGAAAGAAGAGCTGGGAACTCTAAATTCTAAAGTGAAAAAAGCTAAAATGAGAGTGCCATGAGAGAAGATCCTGAGAAGGATGAGCTAAATGAGACTATTTTAACGACAACTTTAATTGAATTTTCAGGAAGGCAAATTCATACAGGGCTGTAAATAAACTATTGGGAAACTAGAGAGGGGTGCACTCTATCACAAGGGAGGCATGTCTTGGGATGTAGTCCTGACACCACCACATGATGCACTGTGCAACTATGCATCCTCTTCACCACCTTTATTTAATCATCTGGCCCCGAAATGACTTCAAAGATCTCTTAGGATTTTGATCTTTTTTAGTGGAAATCTATAAACAACTATAAACAAAACATTATTCCCACAGTCTCCATGTGCACATAGACCTACCTCAGTGTACAAGCTGCCCTACAATCGTAGAACGCTTTGGGCTGAAAGGGACCCTTAAGATTACCTAGTTCCCACCCCCCTGCCCCGGGCAGGGCCCCCTTCCCCCATCCCAGGGTGCTCCCAGCCCCGTCCAACCTGGCCTTGAACCCTTCCAGGGAGGGGGCAGCCACAGCTGCTCTGGGCACCCTGGGCCAGGGCCTCACCACCCGCACAGGAAAGAATTTCTTCCTTACATCTAATCTAAACCTACCCTCTTTCAGTTTAAAGCCATTACCCCTCATCCTATCCCTACAATCCCTGAGTCTCCCCATCTTTCCTGTAGGCCCCCTGTATATGTATACCTGACAGAGCTAGAATATGAGATACCGCACAGTCATACTTGATGGTCACTGTTAGTATTTGACAGCTCACTTCTTTAAAGCTTGTCTCTTCAGTCAGAATTAAGACTTTTTCATTACAAATTAAATATGCTGATACTGTAATCTGTTTTCAGCAGACAGGGCTTTGTCAAAAAAAAAAAAAACCAAAACAGCCCATCAGATATTATGACAGCAGGTAACACTGACCTAGAATCATGCTTACAATGAACAGTGTGTGCCTACAGAAGTGGTACATTAATATAATTGCCTTTCTGGTTTAGAGCAGAACAGAATTATGCAAAATGAAGCTGTTAATTCAGCTGCCAGGTTTATGCTGTTAAAAGCTGCTAGCTACTGGTATCCACTGGCAGTACAACAGTCCTGTGAGAAAGATTTCATAATTTCTTTAGGAATTAATATTTAATGCACAAAATTTGCAGTGACCTATTTGTGTTTGGATTTATTTCAGAGACACAGACACTAGTGAACCTTTTCACAGCAGAAGACCAAGTCCTATTCCCTCACATGTACCAATGTGGAAGAGACATGGTCAGTCTGGTATTGAACGACTCATCCCCCTCATAGCTCCCTTTTTGGGTCCACTCTTCAGTCCTGAACACACTACCCCCAAAGCAAACCCACTGATCTGGAACTCTGCAAAATCACATGGCCTATATAGCTTGCTCAGCAAGCTTCTAACCATCAGAGGTCCAAGCCTCCAAACTGTGTGAATCAGTTGCCTGTGAAGCATCATGAACTTCAAACTCATATGGAAAAATAAAAGCCTGCTTACAGCCTGGCCCCCATCTCACAGCACGGGAGTACAGCTATGTATTAATGCAATTTGAACAAGAGGTCAGCAGTTTGGACATCCAACAAACTCTAC